AGAGAGAGAGAGAGAGAGAGAGAGAGAGAGAGAGAGAGAGAGAGAGAGAGAGAGAGCAACAAGCCTTTACCTCAGTTCGTACACCCACGTTGGAAACCAGATGCAATGAGATAGATGAACAGAAAAGAAAAAAAAAGAAAAAAAAAAAAAGCAAGCGCCAGAGACAGGGAAGTGCGACGCAAGAATGAACACACGTGAGCCGATGAGAAAAACTCATGCACAATGGAAGCAGCTCTAAGAACGAGCATTTGATGAAAACTGCATCATGTTGACGGAAAATGCATCATGTAAGTCAAGTCAGACCGTCCACCAGATCCAAAGTCGCCTGAACATGTCAAGCAGACCAACTCACTGGAATATAATGATAATCTGTTTGTTAATTGTTACATATATGTAGTATGTACCCTTAAGAAAGCCACGTGAGTAGGAACAAGGGAGTGCCAGGGAGCATTGAATACTGTATTGTGGGGAAGGAAAGGACTCGAGAGCGGGAGCTGCCGGTTGACTGCAGGCACACGATGGGAGTCTAGCCCCCCTGGGCCTACCGGGCTCCATTGTGTGTGTCTGGGTACTGCGAGAAAGTTTCCCGGTCACTATGGGCCCGGAGCACGGGATTGGGGAGTGGAGCCTCATCTTGTCCCTGCAGCCCCCCCCCGACAGGTGTCTCGAGCCGCGGGGGAAAGGCTGCAAATTTCTGAGTCTCTACCTTTTGCTTGAACTCATGCTTGCCGGTAATAAGTAACTGGACTGCTGACCCCCAGAATAGAAGGGGCTGGAGTTTGAAAAAAGAAGTCACGTGGGCAGGGTACCATCTTCCCTCGAATAGAACGTCCGGTCATTACTGCCATATCTAGACTGAAAGTTGCGCTAAAAATACACCTATAATGACCATACGTCCTATACGGGGAGAGACAATAGTGAACTGGAGATAAACGTTGTTGTGGTTGGAGAGGGCTCTTTGACGGCCTTGGGTCGATCCATCTCCTATCAAAGCTCGCGAAGATAGTTCGTTTTTCATTACTTTTTTCGAGAAAAAGAGGGGGTAGTCCCTAACTTTACTGCGTTCATCTGATTCCATCAGGATAGGAACTCATGTTTTGTTTACTAACACTGTTTAGCCACATACGCTTGGTATTGGTAGTTCATCTCAGACTACTGAATAGTGCCTCCAGTGCCCTCCTGGCCCCTCCACCAGATAAAAACAAAGCAGAAGGAGAAGAAAGTGAGGGTGAGCTGGTTTCTCTGGTCTCAAGCTTTGTGTCAGAGCTATCATTTTTGTTCTCTTTCCTGCAGTTGGCCAACATTGCCCGTCCTGTGTTCTTTTCCAGTGCCGAACAAACAGCAATCGTTTACACGCCTCGCTCCACCACTCACCACATCCACAAAAGACAAAAATAATGGCAGGTGTGTCTTTCCGTGTCCTAGCGGAAGATTCACTCACATTTTGCACATTTCGTGAGTGGTGGAGCGAGGCCCTAAGCGCCGAGGGAGCAGTACAAGCAAAGAAAGCTCTTGTCAATCTGGGGAGGACAGACAAAGCCGCTGGAACACGAAGCTGGAACAGACAAGGCCGCCAAACCTGGAACCAAAGGCACCAAACATGGAACAGACGAGGCCGCCGCACCTGGATCCTGGAACAGAAATCTGCCAAACCTGGCTCCTGGAACAGAAATCCGCCAAACCTGGTTCACCTGGAGCAGACAAAGGTACCTAAACTGTAACTAAGGTGTTGGGTAAGCCCCCCTGATGCAGTAATCGGATTCCATTCCACATATATCAGTAAATCTATAAAGGGCTCAGTCAGATACACATGTTATTTGGCAATGACATCATTCGGGATACTGACAAAAAGAACGAATGGATGGGAGAAGGTGTAAACATCTCCATGTGTTCGGTCTCACGGACTCTCACCATTCACTGGGAGAAGCAGTGAATACACAGGGATAAACTCACGGCTGTGTGCTGTACCTGTTGTGACCCCAACACAGCCTTTACACATAATAAATGAGAGTAGGAACCGCAGCTGGTGGCAACCACATACAAGAACTTCACCAGCAAACCATCTCCGTCATCTTATCATCTTCGTGAGACTTTGTCTGAGTTTTTGTCTGAGTGCAGTTGTATGGGAGTTGTCTAATTACTCTCGGAGTCTGAGTTCCGAGGAGTTCTGCAGTCTGTCTCCCGTTCTCTCTGAGTTCAAGACCTACGTGGTCTGCTGACTCTGCTTCCTATCCCCACTGGCAATAACTCAGTGTAGGCATTTTTATTTTCTTTTTTTTATTTTAAAGGAGGTAGCCCCTACCCTTATTGTATCCCACAGGATAGATCTGTTTATCAAAAGTCATATGTGTGTAGTACTGAATACCATTCAGCCATTCGGGGGCGTTTGTCTGTTCCAGCGGCTTTGTCTATCCTCCCCAGACTGACAAGAGCTTTCTTCGCTTGTACTGCTCCCTCGGCTCTTAGGGCCTTGCTCTACCACTCACGAAATGTGCAAAATGTGAGTGAATCTTCCGCTAGGACACGGAAAGACATACCTTCCATTATTTTTGTCTTTGTGCATGAGGTGAGTGGCGGAACGAGGCCTGTACTCGATTGCTATTTGTTCGGCGCTGGAAAAGAACACAGGACGGGCAATGATGGCCAACTGCAGGAAAGAGAACAAAAATGATAGCTCTGACACAAAGGCCTTCGCTCAACTACACAACATTCTAACTGTATCTGGAACATGCATGGTCGCAATACATCCACAATATCGGGTCAGTCTGAACGTATGTGCACGAATCACAATCCAAATGCATTGTGAGTGTCGTGTGGTGGAGTGACACCCAAAGTCCATACTATTCAGCCAGATTGGACAAGTGCTCATTCAATGCGCTCATATGAAGCTCATCCATTCTGAGGATGTCGGACCGAATTGTATGGGCTTTACTGAACAAAATTGTGTATTCAATACTTTCCCCCTGCCGCGGCAATCAGAGTTACAGTAGTTACCCTATGGAGTGAGTGTAAATAATGGAAAAGGAATAGGATCAACGCTCCCCAGAATGGGAAAGATCCATAGCCATAAGGCTATGTTTCCTCTTCTCTCCAAAAAAAAGAGAAACAGAAAACCTGCTCTGAGGTGAGACTTACCACTGTGCAGGTTAAAGAAACCTTGGTTCGTCAATGACAGCCACAAAAAAGCTTCGATTGTTAAGCCACCAGTACCTTTCCTAGGCATTTTGCCGAATTGCGGAGGTTAACATGGAGGCCGCACTCGGCCTCTGGCAGCGGCAAAAACTCGGTGCCAAAACTCGGCGTGCAGGGACCGTGGCCCGTAGCTGGGAAAGGTACTGGCGGTTTAAGAGGAAAGGATTGCCCTGACCGCACCAACAAGCCTGGCTCGGCTGCTACACCCATGCATAAACTGTTGAAATACAGACCTGAGTTCGACCCCAGATGATGAAACTAGACAAACGAAATCAAATACAGTTCTTTTAACGAAGAACCGGGAACTCGTGGCTAAGGAACGAATCAAAGATATCAAAAGGGGTCACATACAGATTGGCAGACTGCCACTAACCTTAGCCTGTAGCTCTTCAACAATTCTCTCCATTTCCATCTCTGCAAATGACAAGTCAGCCCACACAGTAATGCCAATCCAAGCACCATCAGCCGGTAAAAGCCGTCGACACACCCCGAGGTCAGCTGAGATGCAAAGGGCACTCCACCACAATAGCCATGCTTGCACAGGCCAATCAAGAACATGCACCGACGTACAGACTATGGTACAAAACACAACCAACTGCCTAGCACCTAGCATTAGTGCAACCATGTCCAGGCTTCCTTAAGAGGAAAAAATGTGCTTGTCAAATGTTTCATGTCCCAAACCTTGGCCTGCATTTGGAATTCCAGATAGGACATCGGTTGGAAGTTGATTCTACAATTGCGACTGGCAAAATGTTGCATGTGGTCCATACCAGGGCATGGATACGTCAAGTTACATTCTGGCAGTAGCAATTGTATCATTAAGCTCCAATTAGTGGCAGTCGTGTAATTACTGAGACCGTAAGTGGCAATCATGCCTTTCTCCCCTCTGCAACCCCCCCCCTTCTTGTCAGACCAGCAACATGGCACCATGTCCCCCAAACCTGTCATTACTTGATAGTTTTGGTCCTTACAGTTTTGGGGGTCCTTCACAGTTTTGGGGGTCCTTCACAGTTTGGGGGGTCTGCAGCCCAACATGGCACCATGCCCCCCAAAACCGATAAGGACCAAAACTATCAGGTGCTAAAACTCGCACGCCAGAGTGCCGCACAAGTGGTTAACAGACGGGGGGGTTATTTTCGGCAAATTTTTCACTCAACCTGGCGCAAACGACAAAAGTTTCGACCCTCCGTCAACTCTCTCCCCCAAATGCATGTGTTACATGCTGCCACCTTGACAGGTTGAACAGATAGTGTTCAATGGTGAGGCTGCCTCACGAAGAGAACTTACGTTTGGGGCGGCAGGGTTTGGACCCAAGTCCTAAACTTACGTTGGGACGGCGGGGTTTAAACCCCAAAACCTGCCCCAAGTGTTCCATGTTTCAGGCCGTTCCATGAAGAGCGTTTAAACCACCAGAATGAGGCCCCTCCTCTGAAACTTCTGGTGATATACAAGGAGGCTGCTCTTCGAATGTGCTCGCCTGATGGCCCGTGGTGGGTACCAGTTTGATTCATTCAGGGTGGAAAAAAATAAGGTAACGCAATTTAGGGTCCACCGCACTGACACTTCATAGTCTAATATGCCGAGTCCTTGGATCCTGCACAACTTGTGGCTCAGGGGATATTACCGTCTTCACCTGAATAGAACGCCCGGTCATTGTCCTTCGGGACATCTGTTAAAGTTGGAATGATACAGAGAAGACTAGCATGGCCCCTGCGCAAGATTAAAAAAAAAAAAAAGAACGCCCAGTCATTATAGCCGTATTTGGGGCAACTTCCAGTCCAGATGCAGCGATAATGACCGGGTGCTTTATTCGCATGAAGACAGTGGATACGAGGCCCACACCTTGACACCTACGATTCCATAAGGAGTAGACGCTTGTGCCTGAGCATAATCTATTTTATGTGAGAACACATGCAAAGATGTTTTACCATATTTTCAGCATTCAGTTGTAGCAATCTCTGCACCATTGTTTCGACCTCAACAACTAGTACAAAGGGTTCTTTGGTTTGACGAATGAATGGTGGGACTCGCGGTTGTAAGTGTGTACTTGTCAATCTTGTCATCGGAGTGCTTTGCATTTCTTGAGTCTTTGTACTTCACTTGACGTGTATCAATATTGTGTATGGATATCGTGTCCTCAAGCTCAAGCATCGAGAAAAGGTGGAATGCCACCAATGGGCGTAGCTCAGATGGTACACCAACGAACTGTTGAAATGAAGACCCAAGTTTGAATCCTGACACAATCAGATGACCAGAATAAAATCACTTTGAATTACCTGGGGCCACTCTTTAAACAGCAATCTGACTGATGAGTCAAGACTCAAGACTCAAGAAGCATCACATGCATACATCAGCGTCATGGCGCGACGCAAGGAGGGAGAGCACACATGGACAAAAGGTCCCGCCTTACTCACAAAATGGGGAAAGAAGCATAGATGATGGAGGTGGAGATGGCGACGAAATGTGGGAGAAACCAGGAGAGAATGGGAACTCGAATGTAAAAGACGAATAGTAATAGTCTCTCTCCAAATCACACAATCATCACCAAATAGAATGTTGAGTCTAAACCTGAGTGCATAGTCTCCCTCAAACAGTCTCCCATGTCTCTGTTCTCTCACTCTCTGGAAGAAGGACAGAGCAGGCGGACATGGAGGGGTAGAGGAGAAGAAGAATCTCTCTCTCTCTCTCTCTCTCTCTCTCTCTCTCTCTCTCTCTCTCTCTCTCTCTCTCTCTCTCTCTCTCTCTCTCTCTCTCTCTGGTTCGTGTCCCCAGAGGCTGGACGTGTTTCAAAAAAGAAAAGAGTCCACCCACCCACCCACACAAACCCACAAAGAGGCATTCAGAAGCCATAACTCAGTAGCCTCCTTTTCTTTTACCCGTAATGGCAATAACATTATTGTACCCATCACAATCTGAATTTCAGTTACATATGTGTACCATTAACGAAGAAGGCAAAAGCCATCATTAGATTCACCAGGTAAGTAGTTTCGAAATCACCATTCCTATCACCACGAGTTATACCATTAACGAAGAAGACAAAAGCCATCACTAGGTAAGTAGTTTTGAAATCACCTTTCTTATCACCACGAGCCATCTCCAACTCCAACAGGTCCTTCTTGGCCAACTGAATGACACCAGAAAACAGACAAACGGGAAAAAACCCACGTCATCCATATTGCCTCTTCTTCTACATTTCTTCTTATGCAACATTTGGAGCAGCAGACGTGGTATGAACAGTCCTTGCATCTGAAGACAGCAGGGACCCCGACTTTAGCTGCAAAGCAAACATAGCAACTGGACATCCCACCACAAGAAGAGGAGAAGAAGAAGAAGAAGAAGAAGAAGAAGAAGTCCAACCTATCCCACCCCCTTCACCCCCCTCCCCTGCCTCTCAACCCCCTGGTTTCCACCAATGCATCCAAAGCAGCCCAAGCAGGTTAATTTGGCCTTGGTGTTTGGCTCCGAAGGATCAATAACCACCAGCCCATGTGGCTGAGTGGCACACACATTAAGCTGCTAGTAAATAGATCATGAATTCAAAATTCAAATCCCGATGGAATCAAACGGCCACAATCGTCTTAGGGGCTATCTCTGTCAGAAAAACAAAACAGAAAAGAACAGAAAACCGGAACTTGCAGTGTTAATCCAGCAGAGCTTGCTCCTCACAGTTCGTACCTCGAGAGATTGCCTTCTTGACTCCTTCTTTGCATTCTCTTTTAGAGTATCATTTTCCAGCTCCAACTCTTTCAATCTTTCCTCATGCGACAAGTAATTATCTTGCACCTGAACAATGCCGATTGGAAAAATGCGATCAGCAAACATGCACTGCACAATCAACCATACCTCGCCATACAGTGCAATACAGGTCCAATCAGATGGCAGGCCCATAGGAACAACATCACGTCCTCACTCCACTTTACCCCACTTGGCCCATACAGCACCCATGTGGCCCACCCACTTTTACTAATCCTATCACCTAGGCTCATGGGTCCACCACTGATTAAAAGTGGGCCCATGTGGGTGGGCCCATGTGGTGGGGCCATCAGCCATTGATGCATGCCTATCAACAGATAAGCCATGTCTGGAACCAAGGGATCACCGACATGAAGAAAGACACACACGTAATGCGGCAAAATTTTGAAAAGCAATCAATCTGACTCCTTATCACTCATATGAATCGGACACAGACAATGCATTCCACAGCATCACTCAAGACAGCCAGGATGGGAGACATACATAGACGAAGTCTCTCCCGGCAGATCACGCACATAAGGAG